CAGAAGGTGGATCTTCATCTGAGCAGACAAAAGACAAAAGCTCATTCCTGGAAGATCTTCCTGTATTTTTACCTGATGGAGAAACCCTATCAAGTGACATAGATTGTGACTATTTAGAACATGAAAAAGTAAGTTCCATTAATTTCTTCCTAAAAATGACAAAATGTTATCTTTTGACTCATATTTTAATACTTAAAGTGAGTGCTGAAAATTATGAAGAATATATAAAATTAATAGATTTAATGATAAACTGCCTCTATTTTGTATATACAACTTTTGAAAGAAATCTTTCAAGTTGAATTATTTAATTTTCAATTGTGGAAACCCCTACTTACATCTACAATGGCATTTCATTTTGGTTTTGGGTAAAAAAAAAAAAAAAAAAAAGATCTGAACAAGTGGAATTGATTAAACAAAACATACCCAGATCCTACCACTTAATCTTCTTTCTTTCTTTCTTCTTCTTTTTTTTTTTTTTCTTCTTTTTCTTTTTTTTCTTTTTTTTTTACTAGAAAGGTTCATGGTACATAGTCTTCCTCCTCTTTATGGGGAATTACAGCAAATGAGATGTATTGACTTAACACTTTTATTCATTGCAGGAATTCATTGACTCACAGCTTCATTATCAAGGGAGTGAATGGGTTTTTCATCAGGCTCCAAGCATAATATCTGGTGAACTGAATAATGATGCCACAAGCCCGCTGCATATTAAAGAAGAGTTTAACTAAAACAGCACGATTATTGTTACTTGTTCAAAATAAATATATATTTTAAATGAATTTCGAACTTGTATTCATTTGAATATGTAGAACAGATCGTTAAGGAGGCAGAATAATCATTAGTATTGGAATGTCAATTATTCATTTACACATGAAGTTTAAATATCTCTTGAGGATATTTGTCTTGGAAAAAGGATTTCTGACCTGTAGTTGTTTTGTTTATGCTGTTTGATTACATTGTTTTAATATTTAAGATTTATATACCAAATAGAAATATAATTGTATAAAATTGTATCTTTTGGAAATAAATATATAATATATTTTGAATGTTTTTATTAACATTGACAGGATATGTGAGTAATATTTAAAAAAATATTAATGTGTGTGCGTGTATGCGCTCCCAACACCCCTTCACTACTGTGCATATCAACAGTAACGCCACAATGCAGGAAAAGGATGTGATAGAATTTCAGTTAAACTTAATAATTTTGGGGAAGTGCTTTTGAAGAAACATATCACCTCTTACATCACACATTACTGGCAAAAAAATAAATTAAGGAACAAAAGGATCAGAAACTATTATGCTTGCATCAACTACTAACCTAATTACAAGTGAGAGAGAGAGACAGACGATGAACTCTGAATTTTTATGCCATAAATAAAAGTCTTATTCACAAATACGTATAACATTACACGGCAATAATACACAAATGCCTCCTTTTCCAACTCAAAAAGAGGCAAATAATGCAAACTTAGTAAGATTTTCTGTTGGCGCTCAAAGTATAGCAACGGTCACACTAGTCGCGTATAGGGGATAGATGGGTATGCTGAATGCCGGTCAGATAAAGTTTGGTTAATATTATACAGTGTCCCCCGCAGAGAATCATTGTTCTAGCCCAGTCTTTACAAACGAAACCAATAGCAGTCGTAGATTCTATGAGTATCATGACATGCAACAGATATGAGGACACTAAAATTAGAAGAAAAAAAAACTTACTACCCATTTTATTGAATATCATACGTCATACAACCGTGACAGATACCCCGATACCCCATATTTCAACAAAAAATGTCGACAATATATGCCGCCATTATCATATTCAACGGTGTACGAGAGACGTAATTCTGGATTTAGATGAAATGAAGTTAGGAGGAAGCAAATATTATAACTGAAACTGAATAAAATGGTAATTCTCAACCGTACCATTACAATAATGCAAATCAAAGTTCCTTTGCTAATTCCACTCTTTGCGTTTACATGAGGTACCGATGTCTGTTGCAATAAACAGGCCTTATCAGCAATTTCTTGCAGCTGTTTGAAATATTTTGCTGCCGAATTTCAAGTGCCAAGCTCTTCATCAAACTCATCAACATGCATGGGCAACCCACACTCGAATAGGCAAAATACCAAATACATCTATTTTATTTGGTAACTCTTCATTTGGCATTGTATGAACAACTCCGGACAGACACTCAGCACGTCTGTTCGGAGTTCCCGATTGAACGAGTAGCGTGACTGTTGCTTTCCAGTTGCTTTTCCCTTCAACGACGGTCACACTATTCGCGTACAAGTGTGGATCCCTGAATAAGCACGCTGAGTGTTTGGTCAGGTACAGGGAGGTAATTTTATACAGTGCTGCCTCTAAATAAAGAACTATCGTCCCAGAAAAGACCAGCGTCTAATATATCCTAAATGCAAGGGCGTCAATTGTGTGCGTGCGCGCGCGTGTGTGTGAGTGGGGGGGATAGCATCAGCGCAATGATCGATTGAATTAAAAAAAAGAAGACATTAAACTCAGAAAAGCCATTCCACACAGTATACTAATTATCATACGTCACACAGCCGTACCAAGTACCCCAAAACCTCATATTTCAACAGAAAATACGATGATAAATCTTCCAATAACACATGCAGCTTATTGTAATCAATAATGATGATTTATTTGGCTTATGAAGAACTACCATAATGTATTCAGTAAATTTAATTATTGCATTAATATATTTCGCATTATCACCATTTATGTACAGTCGTGTGAGTTTATAATTAAATTTTAGCCACATACACAAGCATTCAATCGACTGCATATGATGTTATGAGCCTAAAAATATGCATGTTTTTATAATCTTGCGTTTTAATCAGATAACTTCAGCTATAAAATATATTTAAAATCTTGCATGAGTCATCAATTAACACTTATTACAATAAAATACAAGAACTATGTTTAGCCATTTGGCTAGAGGTTTGAATCTGCCTTGTAGGCCTATTTAAGCATCCTAGGAAACTTATTTCAAGTAATTACAAGCAACTGCCAATGAGGGCCCTGTAGATCTGGGTGTAGATCCCACAAGATCCTAGTCATTAAATCTGTAACAAGATGAAAATATATACAAGGTTGTATCGTTTTGTTTTTTCTTTTTTATGTAATTGATATTCAGTCAGCTTATATACAAAGAGGATTTAGAGCAGTATATACGTGAACTGTTAATTTTGTATTGGCTACGAGCTTTCACATCCACATTTGTAACTCGTAAAATTCTTTATCAATGCATGCGTGGACCAGGGAATCGGAGTAGGTGCCGCGATTGTTACAATCGAGCCTCTTTTATTTATATTCTCGATTTATCACATACCATTAAACTGATATTGTGCACTTTTAACTTTACTTTAAGCAGTTAGCAATATCTGTGAGTAAAGTTTGAGTTTGTGTGAAAAAAATAGTATAATTATAGTTGTATTTATATTTATTTTTACAGATTAACAATGTTATTAATTAAAAATAAACAGTGTATATATATATATTTTTTATTATTTGCTATGCCCGTTTCAAAATGTATTTCGGGTAACGTTTTGAAACAGCGATAAAGCCGTGAATTGGGTTGTTTGCTTCTCACGTTCAGGAAGGATGTCCCGGCAGCAACATACCTCGTCTGATGAACGCCTTCTGTTAATTTCTCTTTTTAAGGAGAAGGAATCAGTTCTACTTAATAAGAAGGCAGAAGGAAAGTAAGTCGAATATAACATTTAAATATAACCTTCAGTTTCACAATAATCGCTGTAGAGAAAACAGGCTCGCGACCGATATACTCTTACTTGATTAAAATTATTCTTTTTATTGATCACTTTGTTTCCTTAGCTCTTTCCAAGCATAACATGGAAGGGGTATAATAACCAAATTATTATAATAACTTTTGTGTCAAATATAAAGAAAGATCTTGTTCGTCGCCTTGTCATCAGGTTCCTATTGGTGAAAGATTATCCTTTGGTATTGCAATCCAGCGGAGACAAGAAAATACCTACTTTACGTTATATATTTTTTCTAGGGTATTAGAGCTAGAATTAGTTCCTTATTTAATGACCACTTTCCTTGGAGGCCTAGGCAATGGCTAAGCAGCAATCACTTTACATCTTATTGCTTTATTCATCACCAATATTGTAATTATAGTTGACTTAAGTGAACCAAAACCGTTTCTGATTAATGTACATGAAGTGACAGCCATCGTAATGTCTTTGGTTCATTGAGCATTAGTTTGTTATAATATTGAAACGAGATAGATTTTTTTTATTGGGGGGTGGGGGGGGGTAGGGAAATGCGCAACATAATCTGCAGTTCATTTAGGTCTTAAAACATGTAAGAACCAAATGTATTCTGTTCAAACTTAGAAAAAAAGGAATTTCCGTAACCTCCACTTTGGCAAAGGCCAACAAACATCGACCCCTTATATCGTAACATGACAAAAACTCGTCTTATTTTTCTCCATGTTTGTTGATTGTCACGTGACCTGTTGTTGCTTGGTGAAAGGGTGTTCGGTTATTATTTTAGGGTCGAAATTTGGATAGTAAGGTAATCGAGTATCGGTTGGTTGTTTATGAAAATTGGTGGAAAGTGCCCTAGAAAATTACTTATTTAATAATGCCCTGTGCAGTACAATTTAAGATAATAGTGTTAAATATTGAAAAAAAAGCTAAACTATCTCGGTACTTTTAAAACCGTGTGTGTGTGTGCGCGCGTGTGTGCATATGTGTATTTATGTAAAAATAGTCATATACCCACAAACCATTCCTCTTTTTTTCTTGGCAGAAAGGCCCTTTCGAAGGCCAAGGCATGGGAGGACATCACCAGTGCCCTGAATGCTGCGGCTCTGGGTCCACCCAGGAGCGTCAAGCAAACGAAGAAGCTCTGGGAAAATATGAAAGGCAGGCAAGTTTTAAAACAATAGATTTATAACAGATATTAATTTAAACGGAAATATGGCAAAGTGATGGATATGAAGCTACAAAAG